GGGCCCGGCCGGGTGGTCCCGGGACGGGCGCGGCCGGGAGCCGGGGAGCGGCGCGCGAGGCGACCCGGCGCTGCGTGTGCGTGTGGGCGCGGCCCGCACTGACCGTTCGCCCGCTTCAGGGCGTTCTCGGGCCGCTGGAAGTACACCGGCATGATGGCGGCGGCGGCGGCTCCTCACGGGGCGGCGGCGGCTCCGAGCTCCAGCCAGGCGGCACGCGCGGCCGGAAAGGGAGGGCGCGGCAGGGGAAGGGGAGGGAAAGGGGCCCGCGCGCGCCCTGACGGCGGCGGCGGAAGCGGAAACCCCGCCCGGCGCGCGCGCGCGGACCCCACACGGGACCGGGGGGGACCGGGACCGAGACCGGGTCCACGGGGCATTGGGACCGGGACCGGCACTGAGACCGGAGCCACGGGGCATTGGGACCGCGACCGGCACTGAGACCGGAGCCACGGGGCATTGGGACCGGGACCGGGACCGGGAGGGGATGGTGGGGGAATCGCGGAAGAAGTGGAAGGGGGATTGGGGATGTGAGATGGGGAGATGGAGCCCGTGAGGCGGATCGGGATCGGAGCGCGGGGCGAGCTCCACGAAGCCCTTTGTCCGAATGAGCCTTAAAGGGCGCCGGGGGGCACAGGGGGTTTGCCGGGGCGGTGGGATGGCGCTGGGCCCCGTGTGAGTCGTTCACCTGTCTCACACACTCTGTTATTAGCATTGTTCTTACTGTTCGTCTTCCTATTCTTTATCTGCTTCTAGTAAATTTTTCTTAGCCCAACCCGTGATCTTTCCCTTTTTGTACCTCCAGTTCTCCATCCTGTCACAGGGCGAGGTGGGGGGGACGTGGCCGAGTGGTGCGTGGTGTGGGATGTTTCAGTGGGAACACTAAATTGGGGAATTCTATTCCTAAGCCATGACAGACATGTATTTCAGTATGGTCTGCATTAAGTGGAGTCATCACTAAGGTGTTTATAGTGCTGAACAAGTGCTTTTCTTGTGTTCACAAAATTAAAAGTCTGTCGGGTGACTGCCTGAGGTCGGGGTGGCAGCTGTGCCCATGTCACCGGAGCCAGTGACTGTCCTTGCAGCCTTCTCCTGGGGGCAGCTGTGCTCTCGTGGGGACTGCAGGTCTCCTGACTGGTATTTATTCCTACTGAGCAGCCCACTCCATGCTTTTGAATCTCTAAAAGCTCTCCAGACTGGGACCACGACAATTTTGTATTGTCTGTCTTGTCTTTTCCTACTAATGTGTGTACTTGATGACTTCATGAAAATCCTATGGCAAGCTGCCCTTTAGTGCATTCCCTAGCCAGGCTGGGACAGGCCTGGCCCCTCCCAGAACTTCACGTTTTTTTAGCAGCTTCTGTTGCTCTTCTAGTTATCTCCATTATTTCAGAAGTTTCTTCTACTAATCTGTATCATGGTATTCCTATAATCACTTAGGTTGGAAAAGACCCTTAAAGTCATGGAGTCCAATGCTCAGGGGCCACTTTTCATCCAAACTTGCAAATGAGATCTTTACATTCTCAATAAACTTGCTGGTGCATGGAGTTACTCAGGAATAGTTGTTCTGCTTCCATGACTGTTCCTCACACCACTTGGGCAGGAGCCAGCCTTTATCCATGCTGTGTAGAAACACAAGGATGTCTGTATTTTGGGTTATTCAGGGTACAGCTCCCAGCCGTGACTTCAGGAGGTGGTTGCCAGCAGAGCCACACAATGTTTTGTGTAACATTTCACATGAACCGTGCCCCATGGCTTACAGCGGGCTGTGGAGATGATGACGGCGCTGGAGCTCTTCCCTTTCGGGGAAGGGCTGAGGGAGCTGGGTCTGTTCAGCCTGGAGAAGAGACAGGGAGCTCATCCCTGTCTGTCACTACCTGAAGGGAGGTGTCAGGTGGTGTCCAGCAATCGGACAAGAGGCAACAGGCAGAAACACACGGAATTCCACCTGTATACGAGGAATAACTTCTGTATTGTCCACCGACCACACAACTGGGACATTGCCCACGGAAGGTTTAGAATCTCCCTCCCTGGAGGTGTCCAAAAGCCGTCTGAACACGCTCCCGAGTGCCGTGCTGTGGGGACCTGCTTCAGCACGGCGGTGGCACCGGCTGAGCTCCGTGGTCCCTTCCAACCTGGCTATTCTGTGACTCTTCCCCCGTTCCCGCCGGAGAACGGGCGGGCCCCAGCGGAGGAAGCCGCCGGCAGCGGGCGGGCGGGAGCGCTCAGTAAATGGCGGGGGGGCGGAGCGGGGCCGTGAGGGAGGAGCGGGGCCGGGCGGGCGGAAGGCGGCGGAGCGAAGATGGCAGAGCCGGAGGCGCAGCTGCTGCGGGCCGTGGGGCTGATCGGTGAGGGCCGGGGCGGCCGGGCCGGGGCGGCCGGGCCGGGGCGGGGGCTGTACCGGGGCCCGGGGCACGCCGCGCTGAGGCCGCGGGCCCGGGCGGTGCCGGGGGTGCCGGCTGTGCCTGTTGCGGAGCTAAGCGGTGCACAACTCGGCCGAAGTGTCTGAAATTCGCGGCTTCCGAATCAGAATTGCGAAATCAGAAATAGGGAAAATCATAAATAAGCTGGTCCGGGTGCTTGTTCCTCAATACCGTGCTCGTGTTGAATGTTCATTCAAACTTGGTGCTTCTTTGACCTCGTGAAGCAGGTCAAGAATGGAGATTTATTAATATTTTAAAAAATAAAACCCGTGTCAGAATTCCTGCCTTAAGGCTTGAACTGGATGTCTAGGGTCAGGGTAAGGTGGAATTTTAATCTGATTCCAGGAAACGAACCTGATTAACCCATCAATTTACTTCCTTGCTGCTGTTTGGCATTCTCACAGTGAACATCTTTCCACCATAGAAAAAGACACCAACGGAGACGCTTTGTGGGTTTGGTGTTATCCGTCCGTAACAGCGGAACTGAGGACTCTGCTGCTGCGAAAGTGCTGCCTTACAGATGAAAACAAAGTGCTCCATACGTTTGTGTTCGGCCAGTACAAAAGGTCTTGGTTCTACATCACAACGGTAGAAGTTCAAGATTCTCCAGCCTTGAAAAAGGTACGGCTTGGTGGGGTTTTTTGGTAGAACGCAGGGAGGGCTTCTGCAGAGCTTCCTCTGTGGGTTAAGCAGTGTTTTCCCGTGGAGAGAAACGAGAAGGGATTCGGGGTGTTGTGTGCTCACAGATGCAGCTCTGTCCAGGTGCCCAGCCAGTCTATGTCTCATTTGTCACCAGGACATGGAATTGCAGAATGACTGAGATGCTCATTTTCCAATTCTGTGTGTTAGCACACAAATGTTATTTCATGCTGCTGTTTCTAGTTAATTTATATTTCAAGTTCAGCATTTTTTTCTCTCTATGGAGTTTGTTTCATAGTGTCCAGAGTCTTGTTCCTATAGAACCTGCTGCCTTTTTTCTCTCTAGGATCAAGTTTTATAGGTACTTTCTTTTCCACTGTATTGATTACTGGGAGACAGCAAATATAATTGTATCTTCTATCTTTTCCCTGTTATGAAAATCATTAAACTGTTGGTTAAGTCTGTTCAGTTTTCATGTTTTATGCTATGTTGTTAAGTAGAAAGATAACGTGGTAATTTTGTATGCCCACGGCAGAAGGTTGCTTGCCTTTCCTCACTCAAGTTCATATTTCCTATGAAGTAAAATAAAATTAAATGTCACAGTGCTGTCTTCAATAGGTGCAGTGGGAGATGCTGTTTCAGGAGGACACGTGAGCCTGGTCATTGTCTGCAGACTTTCAGTCTTGTACTGTCCCAGCCCACAATCATTTGATTGAGGAAGTTAGAGTAGTTCTGTTTGTGGGCCTGCTATCTGTGTGGTTTTTCCATTCTCTTTCTAAATATGTTGATGCTGTCTGCCTCCACAGCCTCCTACAGCAACAAATTCTGGAAGTTTCCTCCCTGCTGTGGGGAAGGAAAATGCCTTTCTGTTTTTAAATAACCTCATGAGGTTAGAGGAAAGCAGCTATCGTATGTACGTTAAGCAAAAGATAGCCTGTACTAGAGCTGAGTCACATCAGAAGTCCTGTGTCCAGGCATTCCTGCAGATAGGAGCTTGGAGCCTTGACAGTGAAGTGACCAAGACTGTTCATGTGAGGTCATTAACTGAGCTCTGTGTGTTTCTGTGCCTGTGTCATGTGCAGGTGACCCACTTCTCCATTGTCCTGACAGCCAAAGACTTCAACCCAGAGAAATATGCAGCCTTCACCAGGATTCTCTGCAGGTCTGTATAAAAGCTGGCCTGAGTTACTGCTGTCTGCATGCTTAGATCTTGCCAAAGCAAAAGGTTCAATTCATTGTGTTGCATTTGTTCAAGCAAAGTGCTGGAAACTCAGTCCTACAAAGGAAGTCAGATGACAACAATCCTTGATTTGAGTTGTCGTATACAGAAAGGGTTGGGTGAATGTCAGATGTTCATTGGGTTTTAATCTGTGTCTTCTCCAGACACACACCACCACTGCTCTCACACTCATTTTCTCTGAGAGTATATTTTTAAAAAGTATAAATGTTTGGCAAGATGTCAGTGCTGGACTTAAATGCTGGACCATGTGTATGGTGAATGGCTTGTATCCCTGTATCCCTCCAGGACATTTTGTAAGTGCTGCTTGCAGCTCCTCTGAGCTAAGCACAGCACCCAGGGATGGTTTTGCTTTTCCTATAGGGAAGTGAGAGCCCTCTTCCAACCAAAAAACCTTTTCTCTTTTTTTTGTCCTGTTTACTCACTTCCCTTCATGTCCCCATTCTTATGCTAGCTCTCTCCTTCTTATTTTGCTTTTCCTTCAGTTTCTGAATTAGTTCAGTCCCAGTTCTTTGATACCAAGAGTATTCCCAGGGATTTTGCAGCTAATTTGTTGCAGTTGTGAGGTTATTGTGCTCTTGGGACTTACTATATATAATGCAGACTTGGAAGTGCTTTCAGACTTATCAATTCTGCAGGGCACTGAAAAACTGAGATGTGTTCTTTTTTGGTGATACATGAAAAACTTAGATTCACTGTGGATCACATTTCTGCTGACTTACCAGCTAATACTTCCTTTCAAATCTAGAATGGATTCTTCTAAGCACGATAATAATTGAGTTTCAAATGTGATGTTACTTTCTGCTATAGCTACCATGAAAAATGTGTAGTTGTCAGCTTGGGTGCTATTCCTGAAATATCTTAACCGGTAAAGGAGGTTACAGTGTCTCTCTGCTTCCTGGAAGACAGCTGACAGTGCATGTGTTCTCTCAGGGTGTGCTTCCTCTGTGTCATTTTGGGTTTTTACTGAGTATCAAGGACGTGTTTATAGTTTTCTTTCATCGTTTAGTAAACAGTACAGAAGAATGGCAAAAGATACTTGGATAAAAAATTAAAAGCTACCTAGTCATAGTCTGCATGTAATAACAGGAGTTACTGTGGCAGTTGCTTTTTCATTAAGCAAACACCTTCCATGTCCTTTTTCTGGACACCTACCTACACCTCTGGGGTGTGTTTCTACCTTAGTCTGTGTTGGTTTATTCATAAAATAGAAAGGTGAAATAAAAATACAGGGTTATTTTAAATTCTAAAAGACAGATGTGTTTTTGTGCATGTTGGAAGACTTCTAGTTTAGTATTTAAAACCTCAGCCAGGTGTCCAGAATAATAATTATTGCCAGCAATATTGCTATTGTGATACTGATTTTTGACTTTCTATTTTATATATATATATGTATGTATATGTATGTGCAGTGATTGCAGTTAAAATACCAGACTCTGTTCTTTTCACACAGAATCTACCTGAAGCATGGAAGTCCAGTTAAAATGATGGAGAGTTACATTGCAGTCCTCACAAAGGGCATCTGCCAAAGTGAAGAGAATGGATCCTTCCTCAGCAAGGACTTTGATGCTCGGAAGGCTTACCTTGCTGGCTCCATCAAAGGTTAATCTCTGCCAGAGTCTCTATTCTGATTGCTTTCTTCCACCCTAAAATACAATCTTGTTTTCATGTATATTTAAGTAAACTGTGCTGACACTGTTACCTGTGCTGTTATTACTAAGCTTTTTCAAAAACATGATAATATCAGCGTAAATATCTTCTATAAAATAATTCCCTCTCTTTTCTAGATATAGTGTCTCAGTTTGGAATGGAAACAGTTATTTTATATACTGCACTGATGTTAAAGAAGAGAATTGTAGTGTACCATCCTAGAATAGAAGCTATCCAGGAATTTACCAGGTACTTCATCAATTCCTTCCTTCCCACCCACCCACCCCCACCACCTCACCTTCACTGAGAAAAAAGCCTGCATTTTAAGGGAAAAAAATCCATCTTAGACCTGTTTATAGAAATCCTGCTAAATCCCTCGTAAGGTTTAACTGCATGTTGCTCAACTCAGAGAAATTGAATGGTAGAATAAGTGATAAACTCTGCTTGCACTGATAGTAGGAATTTCTACAATTCAAATATAAATAAATAAATAAATAAATATACACCCTCCCCCCGAAATGGGACCTAGTGATAATTGTTCTTTTTCATAGCATGCAGTTTTTATTGTGAAGCTTTGGTTAGTGTAAGTAACAATGTACTGTGTCTCAAGTTGTACCCTGATCTCCCTAGGACTTTGCCTGCTTTAGTGTGGCATCGACAAGACTGGTCAATTCTTCATTCATATGTGCATCTAAATGAGGAGGAACTGGAAGCCTTAAAAGCATGCACAGGTAGTGATGATTTCTTAATCAAAAATACCAGGAAAATTCAATTTCAGCTTCTGTTGCTGCAAAGTTTTGCACCAGGGAACTTCGGAGGGAAAAAAAAAGGTTATTTTGCTATTAATGCTATTGATCAAAGTTAAACATAATTTTCTTTGGAAAAGGCAAATCAGATAAACAAGTATGTGGGAAGATAATTAAACTTGTAGCTTTGGGTGGATCCACATCAGTCTATCCCTAATCACAGATGCAAAACAGCCTTGAGACTTGTTTGATGTTTGGATTGGAGGGATTGAAAGTCTTCCTGCTGTACAGAACCAGCTCGCTTAGATAAGCAACATTTTTTCCCAGCTTCTACACATCACTAGTAACAAAATGGTTTTTTTGTAATTCCTAACTCTGAAGTCCCAGACTTCTATGTTGATGTCAGTGAAGTCTGAGGCTCCAAATCACAGGTAAACCTTACCTGTAGGAGTTTGGTCTGTGTGACTCAGTGCTGTGTGTGCACAGTGCTTAGTGCATAATCCAGGAACAGGCCCAAGCTTTATGCAGAGGTTACTGTGACACATCATGTGGCCATTAAGAGGCTTCTTTATACAGAATATGAGCAAGGAGACAACTCACCTTCAGCATTTCTACAGCTCACTAAGCATCTTCCATGGAGAAAAACCTGCTCCGAGTTTGCTCATCTGACATGCTGTAAACAAGCAAATCTGGGTTTATTCCTCTCTTCCAGTCCAATACCGACTTTGTAACAAGAAGCTCCAGAGTGGAGATTTTGAGAATATAACGAGAAAGTTACAAATGAGTAATTTTAGTAGGAAGTGAAGAACAGAGTTTAAAATGTCAGGTTGGTAACTTGGTGATATTGCTGCAGTGTTAGCAGTTAATCCATGCTCAAGGCAGTTTTAGAAGTTGATTTTTAAGCTCCTTGGAAATGAAGCAACTGCTGAGCACTTGTGGAATGACTGATAGTATCAAGAGAGCAGCCTCTTGGGTCCAGTGGGTGTTGTGTCAGATACTCTTAGAACAGACTTTAGGGCTGTGATTTTTGATTTGATTTCTGAAGATCCTAATCTTGCTCAATTCTGTACTCTAGGTTACATTGCTGGATTTACAGACTCTGAAGTGAGCAGTAGATCAGACCTCTATGATGTCTATGTGAATTTGGCAGACAGTGAGATTACAGTTTCACCTGTAGTAAAAGGTTGGTTGCTCTTTATATTTTGGATTTAGAGGCAGTTTATTCCAGAGTTGACAGTAATGGCTCAACCTTGCTGTAGATCAAACAATCTTGATCCTTCTTCCATCCAGGTTTTGAAAAGTTAATATGTAAGTTAATGTCTTCATTTTATTGCCACCCTGGAAGACTGGTTAAAGTTGGAATTTGGAAAGATGTGCTCTGTTTTCCAAAAAATGCACAGCTGAGATCTCCTAACATCCATGTTTGACATGGAAGAGACTTTCAGCTGAATGGAGAGATATTACATGAGTTTTTCTAAAAACATGGCACTAAATACTTGAAGACTGGGGATTATTTGAAAGAAAACCTTGTATGTTGCTTATCATCCTGCTGCCCCTTATCACTGCTTTGGGCCACTTCAGAGGTGCTGGCTGTTGATACAAGGTTATTGTCTTTATCAACAGATTTCAAATGGCAGTCATGAAAAGATTCCTCAGTTTGGTGTGTTACTCATATACATTTCTGGGTATCATGAAAAAGGTGATTTTATATGTGGTGTTTTGTATTTTTCTTACACAGAGGCAATGACAATGGGAAAACTTCACAAAGAAATTGGACAGCTAATTGTTCAATCTGCAGAAGATCCAGATAAATCAGACAGCCAAGTCATTAAGGTTAATACTTTATTTTTAAATCTAATTAACTTCTATTGCTAAATCTTGGCAGAAGGAGGGAGTAGGAGGAAGTGGCACTGAGAATCAGTCAGTCTCTTCTACCTTCTGCCTCTTTACAAATGAGCATTTTTATTTATCATGCAGGTTTTTAAGGATAACTTAGTCTATATTATCTCTTGAGTAACTACATTGCTGAAGAAAGTTGAGAAATTCTGTTGTTTTTAAGACTGGTTTCCCAGTTTTATTCCACAATGCATGGATTTTGCTCAATGCTTTGTCAATAGTATTGGCAATACCTTGAAAAGGGCCTGCTAAATATGGCTTCTTAGCTATAAAACCTCATTTTTATGATGGTGGCATTTTATCAGTCCCTCCCCCATGTAATATTAGACATTTCACAACTGAGTGACTTAGTCACAGAGCTCAGTAAGGTCAGGAGAGGAGTGATTGTGCTTCCTTTATCCAATATGGCACAAGAGGAGGCTGAAGAACTGTTACAAGTGGGGTCTTTATTTTAAATGAGCTATTTATTTACCCTTGTTTCCTTTTTTTGTTCTGTATTGATTGTTTTTTTATTGGAAATGTATGTGAAAACCTTTTAATACCTAATACTATATTCATGGTTGCTTGTTTTTCTGTTCCTTAAGGACATTTCTCTGAAGACAAAAGAAATCTTGGCTACTTTAGCCTCACTTACTGAAGTTTCTGATGGCAATGAAAAACCAACCCTAAATGCTGAGGCCCTGAAACAAAAGCGATTTCCACCTGCCACAGAAAACTTCCTTTTTCATTTAGCAGCTGCTGAACAAATGCTCAAAATCTGATTTTGATGCACTGCAGTGTTATGGACTAATTCTGAAAAAGCTGTCTCTGCCATCCAGATAGGAATACCTGGTATTTTATATGAAAAACTAAAGGTATGAGTCAATGTCCTAGTTACCATGATGCAATGCAGAATACTGGAGCTTGACTGGGAACATATGGAGACATATTTGGGAACATTCCTGGTGTCATTATCTCCCCCCAGCTCTAACTGTGTACCTATGGCTCCTGTATTTCACACCACAAAGTGAGTGGATTTACAAGTAGCACAGGCCAGTGTGTCCAGGCTGTGTGTCCATCAGTGTAGTGGCTGTTTGTCCTGCACATTCCAGAGGCTGGACAGCTCTGACTTGTCTGCCTGGGGTCTGGAACGTGGCTGCAGCACAGCTGGGATGTGCTGATCTCTGCCCAGGGACAGCCTGAGCATGCAGCTGCTCTGAGTGCTCCTTCTGGGCTTCCAGGGATGTCAGCCTGTCAGATGCAGCTCTTGCTCTGGACTGCCTGATACCTGGAAATCCCAAATAAATGGACAAGTTCTCTCTTTCTACTTGAAAGTGTCTAGGTGTGAATAAAGGATGTCTGGGAAAAGCTGACGTGGTAGCCTTAGTATGAAAAGGAAGGGATGTTTTGAAGCTCAGCTGTGAGTTGAGCACCTCTTTGGGACTGTTGCCTTAGAGGTTTTCCCCCTTTCACTCCATGCCATGCCCCTGGTGGAGGGATAAGATACAGGATTACTGTGCTTGGAATGGGCCTTCCTGGGGAAGTCATGGACAAGTTCTGCCTTACAGCTGGTCATTTGAGAAGTTGTTGGGGCTCTCAGCTGAGAAGAGACCCGGCCATTCATTCCTGATCCACGTGAGAAAGTCAGATGAGTCAAAGCCTTATGCACCAGGAATGCTGAAATGGCCAGGTGCCACAGGCAGAGCAGCAGCTCCCTGAAGGACTGGAGCTGTAACACAGGTACTGTCTGATGGTGCTCTGTGTAAATTAAATCTAGATGGAAACTTCTCAAGTCATACTGAAAACTGGGAAAGAGTTTAGAGAGAATTAAATTTGCCTACTTGTTTGGTTGCACAGCCGTAACTCAAGGGTGGGTTTTTTTGATTGTTTGGGGTTGGGTTTTTGGGTTTTATTGTGGGGTTTTTTTTGTGTTTGTTTGTTTGTTTGTTTGTTTTTTGTTTTGGTTTTTTGTTTTTTTTGGGGGGGGGGGGTTGGTGTTTTTTTGTTTTGTTTTGTTTTGGTTTTTTTTACTGAGCAGCCTGAAACTAACTGGTTTACAATCTTCTGAGAAGAATTTAGAGTCTGTAAGGAAATGCTCTGAGCCAAACAATCTGTATTTGTCCAGAAATGTCCACAACAAATCAGTCAATTCTGCAGTAGCACTTTGTTACAAGAAAAAAATAACTTTTTCCTGGCCTTTGTACAGATAGGCTGTAGCATGTGGTTTTACATAGAGATTTTATAATTATGATTAAAACTTTAGTAACCAATATTTATATTGTTAAATAATTGGATGTTTGCTACTCTGAAACTGGTAGAGCTCATCAATACCTATGTGCAAGCAATATTGGTTGGAGAAAGAGTTGTCCTGCTATGTATGATACCTTAAGGAAATCTGTTTTAGAATGTGATTAAGGAATGTGGCATCTGTGTATACAATGAGTGGTTATTACAGTCAGGAAATGAAAGTGCTTCAGAACAGTCCCCTATTTGCAGGGGTGTAAAATTCTGCTTTAAACACTTAGTCTGAAGTTTAAATTCTGAACACAGTAGCATGTAAATTTAACTTCTGAGAAAAATACTGCAACTGCCTTTGTTTACCTGTAAGTGCCCTACAGCTTTTTTCCCCATTTGCCCATTCATGGTTTTTGTTAATGTTTCTTTAATATTGCTGCTTCTTTAATATTGCTGTTTTGGGACCTATAAAACAGTTGGATTAGAAGAACTGCAAAACTATGCTGAAAATTCTATTCAGGATGTACTTTAAAGTCCACTTAAATTGAATTCTTTCATCAAGGAAAATCTGAATCTGCTTCAGCCAGCTGTCTTAACACCACAATGTAACCGAGAAGAAATTCCCATTTTTTGTTATTAACAAACTGCCTGAAGGCATATCTAGAGACAACCACACAAAGCAGAGGAGCTCAGTTGCAAACTAAGCCTTGAATGCCTGTTTTGATTTCTGTTCTGGAAGTGTTTCAGTTGAAAATCTCAGTGTTGTATGAGATTTCCTGCCGTTTGTGCAACACAGATGAAATATGATTTTGCACTTAAGGAACTGGACTCATAGCATGCTTATGCCTATTAAAGAATTCCTGAACAGTCTGCCCTTCAATTTATGTAAATTTATTTTTGAATAGTTGTGACCCTGGAGCCACAGGGGCCTTAGCTCTTAATTTTGCAATACTGGAATTGAGCTATGGTTTGGGCTTTAGGTTGGAAATGTTCAAACTTCTGCCATTGCTGATTTTATCATCAGCATTGTACAAGATTTATTGGCCTCTCTCAGCTTCACTGAGTTCAAAGGATTGTCTTAATGTTCTTGCATTTTCTTATTGACTTTTGACACTGTTTCTTTTCAAAAATGTTTAAAATAAAAGAGAACAACTTGCAAGGTCAGGACAGGAAAATATTTCTACTTTTTTCTCGCTTCCCTTTCCCCAGGATGCACACAAGCAGACTGTGGGTGCAGTTGCTCCTTTGCAGTCAGATGACATCCTTTCTTCCTCCTAGAGGCAAGGGCCGTTTCAAATGGAATTTCTATTCATACTTTTTCATCTTACTACTTTTCTGTTCTTGGAGAAATACAAAATGGTGAATGGTTCCTGCACCATAACATCTCCACTACATTTGCAGAAATTAGAAGGTAAAGAGTGAGCAGGGCAGAGGCTTGGAAAGGGGAGCAGGATAAACACTCAGTTCCTGCAGTTGAGATTTTGCTGAGTAAATTGGGTTACTTGCTTTACTGCTTTGATCCCTGGGGTTTTAGTTCCTGGTAGGAGCTGCCCTGCCCTGTTATCCCTGCAGGCAAATGTGTGAAGGGGGAATGTTCAATGGAGAGCAGTGTAATGCTCTTCAACCTGGAAAAACTTGACATGGGACATATTACAGAATCCATGTAAACGTCCTGGCTGCTTCTGCCTTTATCCTCTGACTGCTCTGAAATGGCTGCTGAGGGTTTGTTCATTGTGTGGTGTGAGATGTCAGTGGAAGCAGCTCCATTTCTGGATAAAAACCAAGCCATAAAGCTCAGTGTAGGGAGTTCCCAGCTGCCTCATAGTGCCTTGCACCCTTCCCTAGGCAGCTGGCTGGAGCCTGAGTCAGAGCATCTCTGGTCAGGTGAAATCATTCCTTGGAGCTGCTGAGTGATGTGGGATAGGAGGAGACTCCAAAGCCTGGGCAGCAGCTCCTTCCTGAGCGGCACTGTGCAGCACGTGGTGTTTGCTGACAGGGAAGGAGCTGCAGTGCAGAACTCCCTCCCAGCCTTCATCCTTCCTTCCTTCCTCCACCCCTGGCATGTGGGGAAAAGGGAAAAGCAGCATGGCTGCATTACAGGCCTGGGGTAAAGCAGGGACACAGCTCCAGCTGAGTTAAGGCTTTGATCTGAGTATTTCTTAACATGGGAGTGGCTGATTTTTTTAAGCTACATTAAAGGGGCCTGAAAGCCTCACTGAATTTTCCTACATTTCAAGATGACAAGCTGAGTGGGTGAGGCACAGCATCTTGTGCTGTATTGAGACTTCTCTTTTCCTTGAAGCTGAAGCTTCCATCTGTTGTCATTCACCACAACTTAAACTGGTTCCACCACTAATGCACTGTCACTTAACACCAGGGCCAGCTAAGGCAGGAGACAGACCTGCCTTGGGCTGGTATGTTGTTAATTTATTCCACATTACAAAGGGGAAGGTTTCCTCTTCCCAGGTCCCTCAAACATGCTGTTTGCTGCTTGTCCCAGTGTTGTTTCCTGACTTGTATCTCTGGACTATGTCTGCTCCTGGCAGTTCTCATCTCAGGGACTGGTTCAAGGCTGAGGATGCCAGGGCCTTTTTAGCAATATATTTTCCCTGCCCTGATTTGGGAAGCAGCTGAGTCAGCCAGGCTGACAATTTAAATGGCAGGCGCCTGCCCTCCTCTTCTGGAAAATTCTGGTTAGGGCAATAGGAACATTTATGAGAATGGGGGAAAGGGGGATTTAATAATCCTGAGGGAGCTGGGTTTAATGTGGCAAATTTCAGCTCAAGTATTCAGTAAGGAGCTGGTGGAGTTTGAGAAGGGGCAGCTGTAATAACAGACTCTATTACCAGACCTATTCCAGAAGCCTTACTCATGGAGTTGTAATGACATCAGTTTGCTTAAAACATCCAAGTGTGTTGCCAGTGAATTTATAGCTTGTCTAGTTACCATGACGATCCAAAGTTCACCAATATATTCTCTTCTATTTGTTGGCTTTGCTCTACTCTTAGGTTTTGGGTTTTTTGGTTTTTTTTTCTTGTTCCCACTGTGGTTCATGTAATTAGCATTTACTTTAGCCATTCTTAAATTATGTTTAAAAAAGGAATGGGGAGAGGTGCAGGTCTTCACTGTAGTGCCAGTTACTGTTTACTGAGAGTGGAATCAGACCCCTCTTGCATTTGCCTTTGGTATGTGACAGAAATAGGAATAGGGAAACAGGGTTTAGATAATTTAACTGCAGGATGTTACCTGTGCCTCTGCTATTAAAGCTTTGGAAGGAGACAAACACTTCAGAGTGTGTTGCCCCCTTCACACCCAGAGAGGCAGGCTGAGGCTTAAGCCTGCTCCACCTGACCCTGTGGCAAAATCATGGAATGGTTTGGGTTGGAAGTGACCCTAAAGATCATTAGTTCTATCCCCATGCCACGAGCAGATGACATTTGGCTCAGCAGACCCTTTGGTCTGACACAACACAATTATCTTCTTGACTCTGATGAGATTTTACCATGTACTGAAGAACATCACCCCCAGAGGCTGAGTGAGCCTGCAGAGTTCAGTAGGTGCAAACCATCCTTTACCTTTAAAAATTCAGTACAGTTCTCCAGTGGAGTAGTGCAAACTGCCAATTACAGACAGTATCCATATGGTCTTCCTGGAACAGCTTT